TTTTTATGTTTATATTATTTAGATTTTCTTATTGTTATTCTTTTCTATTTAGTTGTATTTGTTTATTTGTTTATTCATCTTTTCATCTTTTATATTCTTATCATTTATATCTATTTTCAATTTATATTTATTCTCTTTTGATTTATATTAATATTATTTTTATCTTTTATACTTTGATTTTATTATTATATCATTGACTATCATTTCTATTTATTTATCATTTATTCTTATTATTCTTTTGTTTTTATATTCTATATCATATATTCATATAATTTTCATTTATATTTTATCATTTATTACATGTTATAATAATAACATAACACATATGATTGATTATATAATAAATATCATAATGAAATTATACATATAAATAATAAACATAAAAAATAATAAAATATTTTTCATTAATAAAATAATATTAATTATTTTACATCATTAAATTATACACTTTTTATTTCATATTTCTAATTTTTACAATAAAAATACACTTTTTATTTCTTCTTTTCTTCTTTTATTACCTCTTTGTGATTTATTATTTTATATTTTCTTTCTTCTTCTACTTTCTTTTTATTCTTTAATATTCTACTTTCTCTTCATTTTTCATTATTTGCTTTTTTTCGTTGCCGTTGTAGCATCAGTTCAATGCCATTAATGTTATTTTTCTATTCTAATTGTTTTAAAATGATTTATTTGAAATTTTACAATTAAATATAATATATTAGAATAATTATTCAAAGTATTATTATTAATAATATTAATTCATGAAAATAATATTTATTAATTAAATAGTTATAAAATCAGACATACAAAGTTAAAACAATATCAATATAAAACAATTAATAAATCAAATAGAATAAATCATACAAATGAATATAAAGTTACAGTCAAATAAACAATCAATGAAGAGAATGAAATGATGAAGAAATGAATAATAACATCTTATTAATAAACAAATGATATTCTATAACAATGATTATGAAATAAAAACAAAATAATAATATAAACAATAAACATAGGAGATATGAATATACTGCTTTTATCAATAAAATTCAAAAAATATTAAATTTCAATACCAAAAATATTATAGCACAATTATTTGTTTAGAAACACATTTCATTAATAATTTATTTCATTTAAATATATTTTTCATTATCATATTTATTATATAAATATTCATTATAATTACAAAATACTCCAAAATAAAATTTTTCATTTCTTTCTCAAATTCAAAACTACAACAAAATAACAAAACAGAGAATAAAATCAATATTTTATATTCTTATAATGATTTTATTCTATTCATTTACTCGCATATTTATTTTCTTCTTATTAGATGTATGAATGTCTTATTGAATGAAATTCATTACATAGAATGTTTTTTTATTATCTTACACGTCTTTATCAAAAATATTTGATACTACAATACACCCATTCTCTATATTTATTAACATAATTTATGTAGAACATAATCTTTATTTTCTTTCATTTTTCTTTCACTTTATTAAGAATTGATTCTAAACAAATACAAATACACTCTTCATTCATTTTTATCATACCATATTTAAATAGATAGAATTGATAGAATGAATTGTGAATATAATTCATTATCTATTTCTATCAGATTCATTCAAATTATTTTCAACACCATTGAAAGTGATATAATCAACGTTTGCCAATTGCATCAAAGTATTTTCATTATTTGAGTATTATTGAATATCAATAATAAACAATATCAACTAATAAACAAATGATATGAACAAATTTTTATTAAAACAATTCATTAACAAAACATAAATCAAACGATTTATTACTCAATTAAAAAACGAAGAAAAGAGCAATGGCAATAAATGCAACAATGGTAGCAATTGATCCATCATCATTAGGTTTATTCTGACATTCATCTTCACATTCATATTTAACGTATTTATCACCATTTGATTGTGGAACACACATTCCACATTTATACATTTGACTTCCAAATCCAAGTTCTTCAGTACAATTTTCATCTTTATAATAAAATGTTCCAAAGTATCCAACTTTATTTTCTGATTTCATATAAAATTCAGTATTACTTACTTTATTACAATTCTTAGTTGAGACATTACAACTATATCTAACCATATTACTTGTTACGTTAGTACATTGATCATCTGAATATACTTGATTATTAATTAAACTACATTCATCACCCATTTTATCTGGTTCTTCATTATACAAATAAACTAATCCAGTAGTACTTGAACTAATGTCTGCTTTCTTAGTAATATCCTTAGAATCTTCTGTTGGTTCATCACCAGAACAATCAGTAGTAGTATAGGAAATGATCTTGATTTTTGCTTTTGTGTTTTCATCTGTAGCTGGGACATAAGTTACTTTTTTGGAGCTTGTGTTCTCGAAATAACATTTTCCATCTTCATAAACAGTAACCACTTTAAGTTTACTATCACTGTAAGTACATTCATAAATATTTTCAGCAGCAGCAGCAAAAGCAGTAAGTGCTAATAATGCAATGAACATTTTAATGTTTATATTTTCTAAGTTCAAATGTTTATATTTACCATCACCTAACTTCACTTTTTCTCATTTGGTTAAAATAAAGTACGAAGAAAAAAATCCTTTTAATAAAATGTATTAAAATTCATTTGATTGGCTAATAATTTATTAATACATTTACTTTTTTGACTCATTTGTAGTTTTTTTTTTGTTAATTCCACTTCTATAAAGTTCTTTACTCATTTTATTTTTTTTGTATATTCCTTAGTTTTGAGTGCAAAGGAAAGAAACGAATTGAAATTTAATGAAATGAGGAATAAAAGAAGAATTAATAACATGAAAAATAAAGAATTTGTTATTAAAATAAAAAGTATTTCAAATGAAAAAAAAGTCCGAAAGAAAAATGAGTTATTTAAACTTGGAGAAAATGAACTTACAATAATACAATGATTGGTTTATTGATTGTCTTTGTAGTATTTGCTTCAGCTAAAGAATTTTATAAATACAATTATGTTGGAACAGGAGATGATAAAAACCTTACCTCATATTCAGTTTTTGAAGTTGATAAATGCTATAGAAGTTCTACAACTACTTATCAATCAATTTCACAACATAATGGAGAAGCTACTGCTAATGAAGGAAAATACTTCTTTGGTACATTTACAGATAAAGAATGTAAAACTTCTTCTGATGTTCAACAATATACTGTTGAAGAATTAAAAGGAATTAATATCTATGAAACAAAACCAGAAGAAAGTAATCAATGTAAAGAAGTTGCTGCTAATCAATTTGCTGATGATAAATGTGAAGATCCAATTCCAGGTACAAAACAATTTGTATGTAATGTAGCAAGTGATGTTAAAACATGTACTAGCAATGGTAATGACTATATACAAATAGAAGTTGTTCATGGATATCAAGGTACTTTCCATTATTCTGATAGTGAGTGTACAAAACCCACAGGATATGTAGAAAATCAAAGAAAATGTGGAGTTTGTTCACCATCATCAATGCCATCTTCACCAGATAAAACAATTACTTACACAAAAGTCACATGTGAAAATGACTGCTAATTAAGTAAGTTTTTCTTGAAGATATTTTAATAAAGAAGGATATTCAATAAAATAACAAATAAATTTTAATAGAAATAAAAGTATTTCAATTATAAAAAAAAAGAATAAGTAATAAACAATAAGAATTACATTGGATTATTACTTTTTAATTATACAATGTAATTCTGTTCAATAAATATATTATAACATAACTAAATAATAAAAATGTATTTTATTTAACACTACAAATAATTGTTTATTAATGAATATATCAACTGCTATTTTATTATCACTGTTACAACTATGAAATTAAACAATACGATTATAAACTATTCAAAATATTACTTTTTCATTTTTCTCTTCATTTTTCTTTTTTTGAATATCCAACAAATATAAATAAAGAATTACTATTTAAAATAACACTGACAAACAATTATCAACAATTATCAACAATTTTCAACAGAGAGAATATGGAAATACTTGAAATTTAAATGACATTATGAGAAATACTACAAACACAAAATAATTATTCAAAATTAATAAAGAAGAATAATTAGAATAAACAATACTACATAAATGAAAATAATAATGAAGGATATATAAAGAATAAAAAACTGCATAATATTCATTGATTAGAAAGAATAAGTAAAAGAAAATATAAAAAGAAAATGATATAGTTAAAAGAAATATAAAATAACTGGAAATAATCGTTAAAAAATGAATAAAAAAGATAAATGAGAAAAGAATGAATAAAACAAGTTTAATAGAAACAAATAAATAACAATACAAATTAAAAATAACGAGAGAAAAGTTAAATAGAGTTGTCAATAACAAATTTTCTTTTTCATTAATGAAATTGAATGTTTAACAAAAAAAAACAACAACACTAAAACAAAAGATGAAATGAATATAAATAATGAAGATAAAGAATATAATAATGATAATAATGAATATTGAAATTAATTAACAGAATAAATAAGAAATCAAAATGAATATCATTTGCATTAATAAAATGTGTAAAACATAAAATTAAAATGATAATTAATATGTTGAAGAAGTTGAATATTCAAATAATACACTACGTAAAAAAATCAGTTAAAATGAATTTGAAGTAGTTTTTTGTTGAATATGTATTATATATGAATTGTTTTATTGACAATAATTGAAGTATTAATATTTAATATTTAATGTATAAATGATGGATATTTGTACAAAACAATCAACACATATGAATAAAAACAATAAATAACTAAAATGTTCATTCAGTCTATATTATTCATTTAAAGAAATTAAATTGAATAACATAATAATCAGTTTATGTGAAATTTAAATGAGTTTATCAATACTAATAAATTGAAACGAATAATGAGAAGAAATATTATTAAATGATAATGTTAATGAATTAATTTATTTATTTTGATTGATGTTATATAATATTCAATTTATTCATTTTTTATTTATTTGATAATTTCATTATCATTTTAGAATATAAAATACATTGTAATGATAATATCAAAGAATGAAATGAATTTCATATTAATCAGTGTTGTTATATTCTGAATTGATTATTATCTTGTTTGATATATTCTAATAATAAACAAATAAATTATTAAATGGTTGTATTACTTATTTCATTTTTAACATATTCTCTTTTATTTTACAATAAAATGAATAAATCAAACAATAATGAATATTTGAATAATTAATATATTTATAATAGTTTGTTTATTTATTTGATATTTATTCTATTTATTCATTCTCATCATAATAATTTATTTAAATGTTTGAATATTGTTTTGTTAAAGAATTAAATATTCTATATTATTTATTGTTTAACAATATTCTAAGTCAAGTAATTCATGTTAATTATGTTTCTCATTTTCATTCTTTTTGATTTATTTTATGTGAAAATATCAAATAAATTGTTTTAAATTTATTTAATTTCAATTCTTTTTCATTAAATTATTATTTCATAGTATTTATTTATTATTCAACCAACACTACTTCAATTCTTCTGTTTATTTCTTTTCATCATCTTCAAATTTTGTTAGTCCATTGATATTCTCATGTGGCTCATTGTTCATTTCTTTCATTCTATTCAGATATGTGCAATATTCTGTATATTCATTTTCTGTGATGATGTTTAGTTCATACAATTTCTCTATTTGGTTGTGACATTTGTTTATTTCTTCTTTAATAATACTCGTTATTGTTTCAACTGAAGATTCTAACTCACTATCCTGACATTTTGTATTGTCGGGTTGTATTGTTAATTGTTTTAGAATTTGTTGAACATTTTTTGGATTCTCTAAAAATAATGACCCAAACGAATGCTTATTCTCATGAAAATACTCTTGTAATTCCGGTTGTAAATACTTTGTGAATGTTTCTTGTAATACCATGTTATCAGGAAATAACTTCGTTCCATTGATCCATGCATCAATCTCAGTTGGTGCTTTGCTCATTTCAACTTTATTTTATTTTATTAGTTCATTCTTATTGTATAGTTTATTTATAGTTCAATTATAATATTTACACAAGATTTTTTTGAAACTGTATTGAACAAAATATTAAATAAATCAATATTTTCAATGTTAAATATTCATTCTTTATTCTGAAATGTTGTGTATGTTTAGTTTATTAAATTAATATGATGAATGAATATCAATATTATTGTTTATTTGATTTTAAAAAATAATAAATGAAATAAAATAATGAAATAAAATAATGAAGACAATGAAATGATAATGAAATAAAATAATCTAATATTGAACAAATTAAATAAAGAATATATTGAATATATCATTATTGTTACTTTATTATTTGTTATTTCAATTATTAAACAATAAATTATTATTCATGAATATTTAATTGATTGATATTTTACATTTTCATTTTCATTTTATTTCTTCTTTTTTTTCTTTATATTATTATATATCATTACTTCATTTATTCTTTTTTTTTTCACATAGTATTATGATTGTTTTATCAATTTGTTTATTCATTTCATTCTTTATTTTATTCTTGTCTTTATTCATGTCAATTGATTTATAGTTATTTTATTTTAACTTTTTCTAATTCAATATTCATTATTGTTTATATATTCAAATTGTAATTACAATTGGTTCAAACAACATTATCAAGAAATGAAAAAGTTGAATGAAATATTCATTATTATGAAATTGATTAATATTAATAACAAATAATGAATATTATCTTTTTTATATTGCTCTTCTATTCATTATGAATATTTTAATTTCATTTGATTATTATAATAACATCTGCTCATACACATTTTATTTATTGTTTATTTGTTATTTTAAGCTTTTTTACTTCTTATAATTTTACTATTTCATAATTTCTTCTCATCTCCTCCAGAGTATGAAATTACCTTCAGACGATTTTTCTATTTTTTCACTTTTTATTTTTAGAACCAAATAAAAAACACAAAATAAAAAAAAACAAGATGAAAAAAGAAGAATAACAAAATAGAATAACAAAAAAATATATATAATTTATTGATTTTTCATTCACAATGAACGTTTGTGGTTGTGATGAATATGAAAACCAAATGGGTAAAATAAGAGTTGAAATGTGATGATTGATAATAATAAATCAAGCTCATCGAAATGAAAAGAAATAAAGAATATTTTGATATGCTATTAAAAGGAGAAAAGAATAAAT